TGTATAAATATTATACCTTGTAGCTTACTGGTATTGTATAAATATTATACCTTGTTAATCTGTAGCTTACTGGTATGTATAAATATTATACCTTGTAGCTTACTGGTATTGTATAAATATTATACCTTGTTAATCTGTAGCTTACTGGTATGTATAAATATTATACCTTGTAGCTTACTGGTATTGTATAAATATTATACCTTGTTAATCTGTAGCTTACTGGTATTGTATAAATATTATACCTTGTAGCTTACTGGTATGTATAAATATTATACCTTGTAGCTTACTGGTATTGTATAAATATTATACCTTGTAGCTTACTAGTATTGTATAAATATTATACCTTGTAAGCTTTATAAGTACATCAGAGTGATTAAGTATGTTTGCAGTAAACATCTATGTAACTTAATTTGTAATGGAACCCTGAATGTTTGATAATTTTCTAGGATTATTTATGATAGTAGAGTCATTCATTTCAGTTTTTGTTTTAGGTAACTGATGTCATGATTTATTTTTATTATTCAGATGAAATTTGCCAGAAATTTGAAACGAGGTGAGTTGGAGATTGACGGGGAGAAGAATGGAGTTGCCACATCGAGCGGATTTACTCGCTCATTGAACGAGAAGCCACCATACTACCTCGGAGGTCTGCCAATGGAAGTTGCCAAAAAAGCATCAAAAAATCTTGAGGTATTTTATTTCAATATTCTTGTTTGCCTGTTTGTGAAATGTTTTTAGATCATTTAAAACAACAACAACAAAAAGTGTTTAAAAATACAGATTAAAACAACAGTACAGATGTAGAGAGTTTAAAAACAGTAAAGAAATAAAGGAAATAAAAATGGAAAAAAAGCAATAGAGGAAGGTTGAGTCAGGGTGTAAAATAACGGATTTCTTTCGTAACATGTTTATTTATTATGTGTTGTATGTAATCGTTACATAATTCTCTTGTTGACTGTTTAGGGTGCCAGCACGAGTTTCCAGGGCTGCGTCAGGAACCTAATGGTGAATGATAGGAACTTTAGCAATCCTCAGCTGGAGTTCCAGGTACAGCCGTGCAGCACCAACCTAGAACAGGGCTCTTACTTCTACTCCAACGGAGGCTACGTACAGCTAAGTAAGTCTCCGGCCACGGCCACACAAACTAATTACTTCTACTCCAACGCTGGCTACGTACAGCTAAGTAAGTCTCCGGCCACGTCCACACAAACTAATTACTTCTACTCCAACGCTGGCTATGTACAGCTAAGTAAGTCTCTGGCCACGGCCAAACAAACTAATAACTTCTACTCCAACGGAGGCTGCGTATAGCTAAGAAAGTCTCCGGCCACGTCCACACAAACTTATTACTTCTACTCCAACGCTGGCTACGTACAGCTAAGTAAGTCTCCGGCCACGTCCACACAAGCTAATTACTTCTACTCCTACCCGAAGGCTATGTACAGCTAAGTAAGTCTCCGGCCACGGCCACACAAACTAATTACTTCTACTCCAACGCTGGCTATGTACAGCTAAGTAAGTCTCTGGCCACGGCCACACAAACTAATTACTTCTACTCCAAGGCTGGCTATGTACAGCTAAGTAAGTCTCTGGCCACGGCCACACAAACTAATTCCTTCTACTCCAACGGAGGCTATGTACAGCTAAGTAAGTCTCTGGCCACGGCCACACACACTAATTACTTCTACTCCAACGGAGGCTACGTACAGCTGAGTAAGTCTCTGGCCACGGCCACACAAACTAATTCCTTCTACTCCAACGGAGGCTACGTACAGCTAAGTAAGTCTCCGGCCACGTCCACACAAACTAATTACTTCTACTCCAACGGAGGCTACGTACAGCTGAGTAAGTCTCTGGCCACGGCCACACAAACTAATAACTTCTACTCCAACGGAGGCTACGTACAGCTGAGTAAGTCTCTGGCCACGGCCACACAAACTAATTACTTCTACTCCAACAGAGGCTATGAACAGCTAAGTAAGTCTCTGGCCACGGCCACATAAACTAATTACTTCTACTCCAACGGAGGCTATGTACAGCTAAGTAAGTCTCTGGCCAAGGCCATACAAACTAATTACTTCTACTCCAACGCTGGCTACGTACAGCTAAGTAAGTCTCTGGCCACGGCCACACAAACTAATAACTTCTACTCCAACGGAGGCTGCGTATAGCTAAGAAAGTCTCCGGCCACGTCCACACAAACTTATTACTTCTACTCCAACGCTGGCTACGTACAGCTAAGTAAGTCTCCGGCCACGTCCACACAAGCTAATTACTTCTACTCCTACCCGAAGGCTATGTACAGCTAAGTAAGTCTCCGACCACGGCCACACAAACTAATTACTTCTACTCCAACTCTGGCTATGTACAGCTAAGTAAGTCTCTGGCCACGGCCACACAAACTAATTACTTCTACTCCAACGGAGGCTATGTACAGCTAAGTAAGTCTCCGGCCACGGCCACACAAACTAATTACTTTACTCCAACCGAGGCTACGTACAGCTAAGTAAGTCTCTGGCCACGGCCATACAAACTAATTACTTCTACTCCAACGGAAGCTATGTACAGCTAAGTAAGTCTCCGGCCACGGCCACACAAACTAATTACTTCTACTCCAACGCTGGCTATGTACAGCTAAGTAAGTCTCTGGCCACGGCCACACAAACTAATTACTTCTACTCCAACGGAGGCTACGTACAGCTAAGTAAGTCTCCGGCCACGGCCACACAAACTAATTACTTCTACTCAACGGAGGCTACATACAGCTAAGTAAGTCTCCGGCCACGGCCATACAACCTAATTACTTCTACTCCAACGGAGGCTACGCACAGCTAAGTAAGTCTCCGGCCACAGCCACACAAACTAATTACTTCTACTCCAACGGAGGCTACGTACAGCTTAGTAAGTCTCCGGCCACGGCCACACAAACTAATTACTTCTACTCCACGGGGGGTCCATACAGCTAAGTAAGTCTCCGGCCACGGCCATACAACCTAATTACTTCTACTCCAACGGAGGCTACGCTCAGCTAAGTAAGTCTCCGGCCACAGCCACACAAACTAATTACTTCTACTCCAGCGGAGGCTACGTACAGCTAAGTAAGTCTCCGGCCACGGCCATACAAACTAATTACTTCTACTCCAACGCTGGCTACGTACAGCTAAGTAAGTCTCTGGCCACGGCCATACAAACTAATTACTTCTACTCCAACGGAGGCTACGCTCAGCTAAGTAAGTCTCCGGCCACAGCCACACAAACTAATTACTTCTACTCCAACGGAAGCTATGTACAGCTAAGTAAGTCTCCGGCCACGGCCATACAACCTAATTACTTCTACTCCAACGGAGGCTACGCTCAGCTAAGTAAGTCTCCGGCCACAGCCACACAAACTAATTACTTCTACTCCAACGGAAGCTACGTACAGCTAAGTAAGTCTCCGGCCACGGCCACACAAACTGATTACTTCTACTCCAACGGAGGCTATGTACAGTTAAGTAAGTCTCCGGCCACGGCCACACAAACTAATTCCTTCTCCTCAACGGAGGCTACATACAGCTAAGTAAGTCTCCGGCCACGGCCATACAACCTAATTACTTCTACCCCAACGGAGGCTACGCACAGCTAAGTAAGTCGCCGGCCACAGCCACACAAACTAATTACTTCTACTCCAGCGGAGGCTACGTACAGCTAAGTAAGTCTCCGGCCACAGCCACACAAACTAATTACTTCTACTCCAACGGAGGCTACGTACAGCTTAGTAAGTCCCCGGCCACGGCCACACAAACTAATTACTTCTACTCCACCCCGAAGGCTACGTACAGCTAAGTAAGTCTCCGGCCACGGCCACACAAACAAATTACTTCTACTCCAACGGAGGCTATGTACAGTTAAGTAAGTCTCCGGCCACGGCCACACAAACTATTTACTTCTTCCCCAACGGAGGCTATGTACAGCTAAGTAAGTCTCTGGCCACGGCCATACAAACTAATTACTTCTACTCCAACGGAGGCTACGTACAGCTAAGTCAGTCTCCGGCCACGGCCACACAAACTAATTACTTCTACTCCAACAGAGGCTATGTACAGCTAAGTAAGTCTCTGGCCACGGCCACACAAACAACTCCACTTCAATACTTGGTTCTGTCATTTTTAATTAGAGGTCAAATCGGGAGATAATTGATTCATTAACATTTTACAATCTTTATAATTCACTTTCTTAATTGATTGTCACTTAGTTTTTTGAGGTGAAATTTCATTTGGAATGATGTTTTGATGCTATGTTTTATTACTAAACCACAAGTTTAGCTTAAACAGAAAACCTTATACATGTATTTGTAAATTTGGGTCAAGGTATATCAACCTCTATTCTTTACCATTTTTGCACATTTTCTCGAAAGAAATGTAACATCAAATTTTCTACAATTCCAGCTCAAGAGAAATTCGTCGTTGGCTTAGATTTGGAATTCTCTGTGGAGATCCGTCCTCGTAACTTGACGGGTGTAATTTTATCTGTCCATTCCACCGGGAGTGACTTCATGGCTTTACAAATGAAGGATGGAGAGGTAAGTTAGCGCGTAAATGTCTGTAAAAGAGCCGTCTTTGAAGTGGTGCAACTAACATTGAGGTACAAAAGGAAATTCATCTAAACTAACAAGTATTTAAGGATTGATTGGTAGGAATTCCAGAAGTATCATTTGATGCTGAGTTCTGTTTTGAAATGCTGGTAAGAATTCCAGAAGTATCATTTGATGCTGAGTTCTGTTTTGAAATGCTGGTAAGAATTCCAGAAGTATCATTTGATGCTGAGTTCTGTTTTGAAATGCTCATTTGCTAGGAAAATGGACAAGATTGGCAGTTTCAAAATTATCTTAAGGGCCTAGTTAGCTGGCCCTGGTGTTAATTTACTCCATAGAAAATTGTTTCTTCATGCAGATAGACAGGCCTCAGTTTTGGAATTCACATTAAAACACCCAGTAAGATATCTAATTGAATTCAATCAAAGATGTTTACCAGATGAAAGCAGCTGAAATCTGTATGTTACTGGACACCCACAAAGCCTATAGATAAGCAGCAGATTGTAGTAGTTTTTACCAAGGAAGTAAATCCTAGGCATCATATACAGCTGTATCAAGAAAACATTGACTAAAATTTGATGTAATCAAGACTCGTATGTTCAGTCTGACTAAAATTTGATGTAATCAAGACTCATATGTTCAGTCTGACTAAAATTTAATGTAATCAAGACTCGTATGTTCAGTCTGACTAAAATTTGATGTAATCGAGACTCGTATGTTCAGTCTGACTAAAATTTGATGTAATCGAGACTCGTATGTTCAGTCTGACTAAAATTTGATGTAATCAAGACTTGTATGTTCAGTCTGACTAAAATTTGATGTAATCAAGACTCGTATGTTCAGTCTGACTAAAATTTGAGGTTAGGTATGTAAAGATTTTTGTTTTCGATCAACAGATCATATTCAGCGCTGATAATGGAGGCGGAATCATCACCACCAAGTACACGCCCCCTACAAACAATCTCCTGTGTAACGGCGAATGGCACACAATCAGTGGTATGTCCTTTAAGTCTTGATGTACAGGTACTCCTGTCTCTACCATTATGTTATACTGTAACTGTCAGGTCCACAGGTGCTTGACACACTAATATGATGTGTATATACTATATACTACTATTATATACACATATATCAGTATGTACAGTACCAGAGGTCAAGTCTGCAGTACCCTGCGGGTCACACTCAGAAATTGAGGCCGTTACCTGCACACTTCATGTGATCGAACAGGTCATTTTAATCTCCTGCAAATTGTATATCAACCTTCATGACCCAGAAGAACAATGACATACCTAGAACCTTCCACTCATACTAGAGAAGATTTGTATCAACAAATCAGCTCATTAGTTCATCAGCTTTAAACCATAATATTTAATGTACCTATGGATATTTTATGTTATACAGTATCCTGGGTTTTTTGCTTGGTGTCAAAATTTTGTATTGGAATTTTCACAAATTTTCAATATTGTATAATGTGGGAAACTAGATACACAAGTAAAATAGACTTGTTAATCGTGTAGCAGTGATGATCACTACGATGTTCGTTTATGTTCTAGTTTAACCTTTTGCCATTGTAGCTGTTAAGGCCAAGAGTACATTGCTGATGACTGTGGATGGTCAAATGATACGGCCGGTCAGCGGTAAGGCGGGCAGTTCATCGGCCGACACAACAGAGCCTCTGTTCGTGGGTGGTGTACCAGGTAGGTGGTCATTGTCTGGTCAGCCAATCATCTCTGGGTCCCTTTGTTTAAAATCTATCAACTTATAAAGCTGTTACCCCAAACTTTCACATCAAAATTATTGGTAATTATTTCTGTGTTTCTTCATCTTCAGAGGGTTATTTTGTATCCACATACATACACACTACTTTAATTAGGAAATTTTATACTTTTCAAACTGAAATTGATAAAAAAAAATGTGAACTTGTTGTTGAGCTAATAAGGTGAGTTACTGGTCAAAAGTGTACCCTGTCTGTGCAACAGAAAGGACATTTCTGATGTTGAAATGAAATTTTGGGAGTGTCCAAGGCATCAACCTTACGTACACATACTTTCCATGTATTTGTTGGAGGATATTGGATATATTTGTAGCTGGATCAGTGTTAGCTGAACATATTGCAGAGTTTAATAGAATTGTGTCACTTTCTGTGTGGATCAGAAATCTCAGATGGTTTAGGTTCACAATGAGACTTCGTCAAGTTTTGAACCTCTGAGAATGTATCCCTCTGTTTGGGATTTGGCTTGTATATCTCGCAGAGTAGTGACTGATGTTCCCCTCACTCTCCTATCATAAAAATACTCCCATGTTGTAAAGGTGAGCCTGAGGCACCTGTAACATGGTGGCTTGTGTCAGCTGTCCACATATATGTAGGTGAAGACAGATTTATCTCCCCCTAGCAGAATAACACCTGTGGAGTTGGGTTAGAGAATGGATTATCTTTGCCACTACTGCATGCTATCTGTATTCAGATTTCTGTCTCCATTTGTTTCCAAGATCCAATCAGAATTGTTCCCTAAATTTAAACAAGAGGTAGTTTCAATAGATATACAGGCTGATTTGTTTTTGGGTCACATGTACTGTTTTTGTCTCGTCTCCACGAAGTTGAAGCGAGACTTAGGTGTTGCTTTTCTGGCGACGGCGTCATCATAAAGTTTTTGTTTTTAAGTTAGTTTCTCTGAAAGTATAAGTACTACACCAACCATACATGGATCTAAGGTAGCCATCTCAACCCATGCATCAAATACTAGATGTGGTCTACCTTTCATGGTCCATTGACTTTGTCAGCAGCTCCATCAACATTAAGTTTTTGCGTTTAAGTTAGTTTCTCCAATATGTGCATTGATGGTCAAAGCGGGGCATCAGCGAGACATATTAATCCGAATGGCTTGTTCTAGAACCTATAGTTGACTGTATATGTCTAAATGGGACTGGCTAGTCATTGACAGGAGACTACTACCATTGAGGAGATAACAGTGCAAAGATAAAGAGATTGACTGGGTTTGTCTGCACTTAAAATTTGAATGGCCTTAATAGCCCTAATGCCCCTCATGTCCCTTATAGCCCTAATGGCCCAAATGTCCCTCATGTCCATAATGGCCCTAATGTCCCTCATGTCCCTTATAGCCCTAATGTCTGTCCCTCATGTCCCTTATAGCCCTAATGGCCCCCATGTCCCTTATAGCCCTAATGTCCCTCATGTCCCTTATGGCCCTAATGGCCCTCATGTCCCTTATAGCCCCAATGTCCCTTATAGCCCTAATGACCCTCATGTCCCTTATAGCCCTACTGGCTCTCATGTCCCTTATAGCCCCAATGTCCCTCATAGCCCTAATGGCCCTAATGTCCCTCGTGTCCCTTATAGCCCCATTGTCCCTCATGTCCCTTATAGCCCTAATGGCCCTTATTTCCATCCACCACTACCTGGTACTTTGACTATGATCCAAATTGAAAACTTAGAGAAAATGCTTATTGAGATAAAATATGTATACTCCTCCCCTTGGTCTAGATGTGTACCGGTATTTATGACACTGATGTCCCAGGCCAATGCAGTGGATGTACAGGAAATTGTTTGTCATGAGCTTCCCCGGCATTTTAAACATTGAGTAGAGGGATCTCAGGGTAGGAAGGCAGAATTTGTGTATTATTGGAATAAGATCAGAAAATAAAATTGCATTTCAAAAACATAATTAAGAACCAGCTATGGAAAAGAGTCTGTCCTAAGGACATGTCAGCTGGCTTTAGAACTCTCCTGAAGTGTTTGACAGTTCACTATGTTGTATCCAGGTCTTAAGGACATGTCAGCTGGCTTTGGAACTCTCCTGAAGTGTTTGACAGTTCACTATGTTGTATCCGGCTGTCATAATCTAACTTGCATATTTTTTTTACAGATCTGGGAAGGCGGGGACTGGTGGCTGATGGGAGTTACCTTGGCTGTATACGTAACTTAGCTATCGGAGTGGACCGCACACCTCAGTATATTACCGCAGGCACCGTAACGGGCTCGGTCAAGGCCGACTCATGTCCAGCTAATTAAAAAGAACCTTCTCTGTGTAATGATTTAGGCTTGTTGCCATGGTAACCTTTATAGTGAAAACGAATATTTATAGAAATTGCAATTTTGTATACAACTGTCAATATGATGAATTAAAGTACGATTTTATAGAAAGCATAATGTATTGTTTGCATTGATCTAGTTCAAGTACATGAGGTATTAGAACCTAGTGAGGGAATGGGCTCTAAGAAAGGAAATGTGAAAATCAAGTTTGTTTGTAGAATCCGGTGTTACTAAAATTTGTACACTGCCATTCATAGATGCACAGACATCAATACATTTCAAATTTAACAATATTTTAAAAAAGGCTTCCAAATTTCATAATACAGAGATATTCATAAAACTTATATTTAATACTTCTATTTGGTACATAATCAAAATGAAACAAAACATGTTCAACGAATCTTTCCTATTATTTGACATATATATATTTCTTATCTTTAAAGCTATGAGAATTATGAAAGTGTTAAGATTTCTCTTTTAAGAAACCTGTACATTATCAGAAAACCCTGATGTGTCCGTCTCCATGGATGGCAGTGTATTTATATGAAGTTGTATGTGCAATAATGTTAGAACATAACTTTAATTCTACATGATTTTATTACATTCTCAACCTGAAGAATACTCCACGATATCAATGCGCTAGAAATAGTAAGTTCCTTAATAGGGCTTGTGTATTAGAGGTTACCATGGCGACTACTTACTCCAGCTGAAATTTAGCAGGAACTTGTGTCCAGGTTTAACAATCTATTTCCTCACAGAATATTTCCTTGTACATGTCAAAGGCAGTTTTATCAATATTACAGCTTTTATCAACCTAAATGAACTCTGGGTTCTTTTTTGATAACAGCAATGAAACATCTGCTATAACCAGGTAGGTTATGAGGTTAAATCTGTAATTCGGATAATCATGTACAAAAATTATAATAGAACCAATTTTTTGGACTTTTCAGCTCAAAGTTTTATATGCAAATTTTATGAAGGTGCATTGATCAACATGCATACCATTTTAATTTTGTTGAACGATGCGTCGCCTTGGTCTTTATAGAGGAATTATCCTGTGTAGGATGGACACGTTTTCTCACTTGTAATCTGTGAAATCTGATGTGTAAAAGGTGAAGACCCCGACAACCTTCCTTACTGTGGCTAAATACCAATCCTAACGTAAATCATCCTGAATATTATGTTGAATGTCCCTTGATAAATGCCAAAATTGTTGAACAGTTGATATTGTTTTTACCTGCAAATTGTCTTTCAAGATTTTGAAAACATTTTTTAAGAAATTTTATGTCTTGTTATCTACAAATTTTAGTACAATCTACAAATTTTAGTACAATATACACTTACATGAAGAGTTGAGTAGAGATCTTAAATGTTCTCCTTATCTCAGTGTTTTGTTGTTAACTGACTAGAGGTAAAAGTGTTTGTGATGTAATTTATAAATTTTATCAGGGTATTTGTGTATGTTTTATCAATAAATGAAGAATCTCTATTTTTAAAAATGTTAAATTTGATGAAGTTGTTGCATTTCATATTAAATGTTAAATATCAATGCATTTAGTAAAAAAACTAAAGGAAATCCAGTTTTTATGTTTGTCAAGACATAATCCTCCTAGACCTTGATCACCATGTTATTTTTTGTACATTTTAACACTGAGTTTTTAAGTCTTCCCTTTACCATGTCATGTTTTAGGATCAGAATTTGTCAACAAATTGAGACACATGCATCAAAACAAAAACATAAATAAACAACATATTCATTTGTAGTTTGTGACGATTCTTTATTGATATTTAATAATTTTTCAATACCAGGTACTAATAAATTCAAAAAATTAAATTATCATAATAAAAATTAAAAAAGATGAAAGATTGAAAATTAAATACAGATTTTGAAACTTTATTTGAAAAATTTTCTTTGAGCAAATTTCTTCAATAATGCATGTGTCTGAATTTATTATCAATAATTTAGGCCACTGACCATCTGTTTTTGTACATTTAGTTAACTGCACATAAGTTTAGTTATTTTAGGTTTTTACAAGGACATTTTAAGGCATTTTCAAATTATTCTGTTTGCTTGAGATCATGAAAAATTTATTTATGTGTATTTATATATTTCTAATAATTTCACACAATTGGCACTCTAAATTTTTTAAATAATATGAGGAATAAAACAAACTTACTAAATGTACCGAAATAAAAAGCAGTTAATAAAATATGTGTGTTGTCTTTATTTCTCGCTGTAGAACCATATTTATCTTGAAACCAACACTATAGAATATTGATATGTGTGTAGAAGATGTGGAATAATAAAGATGCCTAACAAGCGTCAGCTGTAGGGAATTTCCCTTTAGCTGTAGAGCATTGGACTGGGGAGCCAAGGGTCGCAGGTTCGAGCCCCAGCGACGGCACTATCTTTATCACTGTTCCTCGTCCTACTACATGTGGTTATAACGACTGAGCAAACCTCATACTTGTTCCCCAATATACAGTTCCACAAAAAGAGAAAACATGACACTTTTCCCAAACTGGGTTTAAAAGGGGATAAGAAAAATGGGAACTTTTGTAATCTTTTCTTTCCTAAGTTGGCTTAAAATAGCATTTAAAGAGACTATGTCAAATTCAAAAGAGGCATAATTTTTGGAAAAATTAAAAATGGTCATGTTTCTGTTGTCCCATTAAACATAGGTCAGTGTTTTGCTTGTGTTTGAAAGGCCAATGAAACCCGATTGTGTTCCCTAACACAATCCTGCTGAAAAATATTCACAATTTATTGAAACATGGATGTCACTTGATGATGGATATCTACCTTGTTTGGTATTTTCAAGCATTATCCTTCTGTTTAGGACATGATTAAAAATGCCATCCTGGTAACTGTACCACGCCATGAGGTTTCTATGTGTTGTTACAGCTTGTATGTCCCACCATTATATAGTGTTACTCAAAGCCACATCCAACGTGGCGTATCATGTATGTACATACCTTTGCCATGCAGCTTTTGGTAGTGAAAAATTATTAAGTTCAAATAAATCACCTTGAAATACATTCAAGGTCATATGGGTCAAACATGTGTCAATGTTAGAACAGTTAATCTTTTGACTACTCCGGTAGCTTTCTGTGATGGAAGGGTACCATGACCCACACTCAAATGTCAAAAGTGGTTAAGGTCATTGGAGTGTATTGATAAACGGAAACAGGAAGTACATCCCTAGTTAAAAATCCAATGTAGGGAGACAGTATCACAATTTCCGCAAAATCTAATGTTTAATATTAAACTGATGAATATTGTATGTTTATTATTGACAGAACAGTGTGTTCTCTCAATATTAAAGTATTTCAAAGCAATCCAGGCATTAATTCAGGTGTTTTTTTATCAATGAGTCACATGTGTCCATTTTTCTGTACTTCAGGAACCCGGCTACCTATTTCACTACTGTGAAGTTTTTCAAGAACGATAACTCTTACCTGCAATTACTATGTGTATATGGTTTTATTATAAAATGTCAATTTTTATATCGTGTTTAGAAAATTAATTTTACACAATTTCAGCATTTATTAAATTGATATACATTAATGCAATACTAATATATGTCAGTATCATTTTTATTGACATTATTTTGTAAAAATATTGTGTCTTTTATTATTTTTTCAAAATTCACTCCTTTTTATATAAATTTCCATTTAAAATCCTTAAAATTCTGACAACCTATATTTTTTTTGTGGCAGAACATTTTCTTTACTTTAAAGCAATATAACTACAAAATTTGAAGAAATTCTACTGAGAAATGGTGACACAATCCTATTACCTTAAATATGACTATCATAACCTGGAGATGGTAGATGGTAGCATTACAGTCACATTATTATGATGTTGGGGTCAAGGAAAACCACCACAGAAAGTGGTGAGAAGGTAAAAAAGATAGAGGACCCTTGGTGACATTGGAGTGGAGCAACAGAGCAACAAAATACCTCACTGTCCACTGTTACAGATATATAGTCGTGACCAGACCCCTCACTGGCAGATATATAGTAGTGACCAGACCCCTCACTGACAGATATATAGTAGTGACTATATGTCAAAATCTTCAACCAAATTCTCCTAGCAAACCACGATATTATCCTATAGCGTACAAGAACTATAAGCCTAGAGTCAAAATTTGCTAGGGTTTAGTGGTTACCAAGATGGTCTTAAATTATCTTGACTGATATCCAAGGTCACAAAGGTCAATTATGTAAATAGTCTGCTGTACATGTTACGTACATTAACATACAAGGTGTAGCAGTAAGATAGGAACGATTCACAATTACTATAGCTCTAGTGCAGGTGGAGTATTAACAATTCACAATTACTATCGCTTTAGTGCAGGCGGAGTATTAACGATTCACAATTACTATCGCTCTAGTGCAGGTGGAGTATTAACGATTCACAATTACTATAGCTCTAGTGCAAGCGGAGTATTAACAATTCACAATTACTATCGCTCTAGTGCAGACGGAGTATTAACGATTCACAATTACTATCGCTCTAGTGCAGGCGGAGTATTAACGATTCACAATTACTATCGCTCTAGTGCAGGCGGAGTATTAACGATTCACAATTACTATCGCTCTAGTGCAGGCGGAGTATTAACGATTCACAATTACTATCGCTCTAGTGCAGGCGGAGTATTAACGATTCACAATTACTATCGCTCTAGTGCAGGCGGAGTATTAACGATTCACAATTACTATCGCTCTAGTGCAGGCGGAGTATTAACGATTCACAATTACTATCGCTCTAGTGCAGGCGGAGTATTAACGATTCACAATTACTATCGCTCTAGTGCAGGCGGAGTATTAACGATTCACAATTACTATCGCTCTAGTGCAGGCGGAGTATTAACGATTCACAATTACTATCGCTCTAGTGCAGGCGGAGTATTAACGATTCACAATTACTATCGCTCTAGTGCAGGCGGAGTATTAACGATTCACAATTACTATCGCTCTAGTGCAGGCGGAGTATTAACGATTCACAATTACTATCGCTCTAGTGCAGGCGGAGTATTAACGATTCACAATTACTATCGCTCTAGTGCAGGCGGAGTATTAACGATTCACAATTACTATCGCTCTAGTGCAGGCGGAGTATTAACGATTCACAATTACTATCGCTCTAGTGCAGGCGGAGTATTAACGATTCACAATTACTATCGCTCTAGTGCAGGCGGAGTATTAACGATTCACAATTACTATAGCTCTAGTGCAGGCGGAGTATTAACGATTCACAATTACTATCGTTCTAGTGAAGGCGGAGTATTAACGATTCACAATTACTATAGCTCTAGTGCAGGTGGAGTATTAACGATTCACAATTACTATAGCTCTAGTGCAGGTGGAGTATTAATGATTCACAATTACTATAGCTCTAGTGCAGGTGGAGTATTAACGATTCACAATTATTATAGCTCTAGTGCAGGCGGAGTATTAACCACAACACATGTCAGGGTTGTTCAAATCGGGACAAGGGCATGATTCAGAACACTGGCTGTTGAAGAGATAAACAAGACTCGCTCTGCATTAATAGAATTGTTTATACAAAATATTTTATTGAATGCTTGAAACTGAATTCCATCATTGAAAATTTTGATACTGTACACAATTTATTTTTCATGGCGGTAATGCTTATTTTTTTCTTCATAAACATTTTGTAAATTTTTGTAAAAAAAATGTATTTTTTCACTTCCTTAAACTGTCTTTCTTGTAATAGTTGTACAATAAATTCTCATTCTGTTGGACTTGGTCATTTTCATTCTGGCCTATAGACCCTCCATTATTTTCCTATAGGCCTATAGACCCTCCATTATTTTCCTACAGGCCTTTAGGCTCTCAAGGTCTCCATTATTTTTCTATATGTCTTAAGGCTTCCTTCCTGGTTTGTTAATAATTCTGTTATATACCCCTGTATATAACTTATGCTATGGTGTTTTCCTTACATTCCGATATTCTTCAAATCTTGATTTCCTGTTAGCTGTAAAGATACGAGCGTTATTGTTTTTATTACACACTCTCGGGTATCGGATTGGAGGATTTCATCACCTCCTGTTTGTAATGAGTATTAGCATAAATGCCGCTCTCATCCTGCCATGTATTGCGGCCGGGACGCCTAAAATCGCCAGTGTCTGTGAACTGTGAGTGACACTTTCTGTATGCTGCAGACAGATCAGGAAAATCTGGTGGCCTTTCCTGTAAATGAAATGTTCAGTGTTGAGTTCTAACGCAAAATATAGCGATCCATTAGCAGGCAATACCTTTAATGAGAATGAAAAATATTACCCAATTTTACATTGTTCTACTCATAGTAGTTATTTCCAGGTATGACTCCCATCTGAAATTGGTTCAACAGGGCGGGAGGCTTATCACCAAGCCATGGGTAACCAAGTAATATATCTTAATGGTCATTTGATTACACAAATTTTAAATATCTGGAACATGTCTCAGCAATGATGGACTTGCATGCTTGTTTCTAAACAGCCATGTGAAAGTAATGAATTTTCTGTATTTGAAGATATTTATTACAACCTTTTTTGTGATGCTTTACAGCCTAATTTTAAAACTGTTGAACTTACTGGTACTGTTTGGTAGTCTGGGTTGGGAAGTTTGAAGTCGGCTCTGTGTGTGGTTTCTAGGTGATGTTTGTTATAGTCGGGGTTGTGTCGGGGCAGCACAGACCCATATCCCCTCTTTGGGTGGCCAACATCTCTGTCAATCAGAACATTTTATGAATATAAGATGATTGGACCACAAATATCGTGTAAATCACAATATCAACTGTTGTACTGAGATTTAATCTTTTGTATCCAATACAAGTGGACATGTCACCTGCACCAGCTTAAGTGGAATGATGACTGATCACAATTTATTCATAATGAAGGAATCAACTACATAATTTTGATATTGTATTATATTTGATTAGATCACAGCAGTCGTTTAACATTGTTAATTTGGCAGAGCATCAAACCTGAGTGAATGACTTAGTAAGTTTCATCAAAATCTGATAATTTATTCAAAAGATATCGTCTGGAATCATTTCTGTACGAAATCCATGATTACCACGATCAAACCCAATACTTGATCAGTAAGTTCATACCCGTTACTCTAACTATTTGCAGAAAAGTTTCTTGAAAATCAAAGCCCACTTTTGCAAGAGTGACTTGAAAACTTGTGTTCGGACACTTTAAGTACAGAAATCCAAGATGGCCAAATAAACTTTTTGGGTAATAATTCAATGTATTACCGCCAAACCTCTTCATACAATCACCTCCAGTAAGACCACTTAATGTTTTGCATTGTAATAATACCATTGTGAAATGCATAAACATGTATTAAAGAGATCACCTACTGTAAGGGACCAATTTTTGGACTTCTCAAAGATGGTCTCATTATACAGGTTCTAGTATAGAATTATTTGCAGTAAGCTTTATTCTTTAGAATTAAAACATTCCTTTAAAAGTTATTGCAATGAAACCGTTTCAGATCCCAAATCCTAAATGGCCACTGGTAGCCATATTGAATTTCAGATCTGTATTCATTTACTTATTGCCATCTTTGAGTGAAGTCACATAGTTTCTAGGGGGTACATGTATCAAGCTCCCTGTAACAATCTCTTCCTAGGGGCGTATAACTTTACACCACAGGACAACTGAATCAACACAGCCACCTAAGTGTCTGATGTATACAGATAGATATCAACACAGCCACCTAAGTGTCTGATGTATACAGATTGATCAACACCTCCATTACCTGTCCAGATCAGCACTGTTGACAGTTTCCAGGGTTACCATCGACTTCCTCACTTCCTGTTCCTTGAAGTCGTCCTTGAGGTACGTTTGCTCTGCATGGTCCTGGTAGGTTGTCTTTGGTAAGGACTGAAATAAGAACCACACTAAAAAAAAATATTCGAAAACTCAACTTGGTATTAGGGGTATGAATGTCTTGTCTTGCTGAACAGGCCTAGTTGTTAATTTGTATTGTTTTATGCATTCATAACAGGTTGAGTCGAATGAAGATGATGTCCATGGTATATTAAAGTGCCATTTCGTAACGATCATAACCTGGAGATGGTAGCATAACAGTCACATTATTATGATGTTAGGGTCGAGGAAAAACACCACAGAAAATGGTGAGAAGGTAAAAAAGATAGAGGACCCTTGGTGACATTGGAATGGAGCAACAGGGCAACAAAATACCTCACTGTCCACTGTTACAGATATATAGTAGTGACCAGACCCCTCACTGGCAGATATATAGTAGTGACCAGACCCCTCACTGACAGATGTATAGTAGTGACCAGACCACTCACTGAAAGATGGATAGTAGTGACCAGACCACTCACTGAAAGATGGATAGTAGTGACCAGACCACTCACTGAAAGATGGATAGTAGTGACCAGACCACTCACTGAAAGATGGATAGTAGTGACCAGACCACTCACTGAAAGATGTATAGTAGTGACCAGACAACTCACTGACAGATATATAGTAGTGCCCAGCCCACTCACTGACAGATATATAGTAGGGACCAGACCACTCACTGACAGATATACAGTAGTGACCAGACCACTCACTGACAGTTATATAGTAGTGACCAGACCACTCACTGAAAGATGGATAGTAGTGACCAGACCACTCACTGGCAGATATATAGTAGTGACCAGACCCCTCTCTGACAGATATATAGTAGTAACCAGACCAATCACTGACTGATGTATAGTAGTGCCCAGACCCGTCACTGACAGATATATAGTAGTGAACGGACCCCTCACTGACAGATATACAGTAGTGACCAGACCACTCACTGACTGATGTATAGTAGTGACCAGACCCCTCACTGGCAGATGTATAGTAGTGACCAGACCCCTCACTGGCAGATGTATAGTAGTGACCAGACCACTCACTGAAAGATGGATAGTAGTGACCAGACCACTCACTGAAAGATGGATAGTAGTGACCAGACCACTCACTGGCAGATATATAGTAGTGACCAGACCCATCACTGACAGATATATAGTAGTGACCAGCCCCCACACTGACAGATATATAGTAGTGACCAGACCCCTCTCTGACAGATATATAGTAGTAACCAGACCAATCACTGACTGATGTATAGGAGTGACCAGACCCATCACTGACAGATATATAGTAGTGACCAGCCCCCTCACTGGCAGATATATAGTAGTGTCCAGTCCCCTCACTGACAGATGTATAGTAGTGAGCAGACCACTCACTGACAGATATATAGTAGTTACTAGACCCCACACTGACAGATATATAGTAGTGACCAGACCAATCACTGACTGATGTATAGTAGTGACCAGACCCATCACTGACAGATATATAGTAGTGAACAGACCCCTCACTGACAGATATACAGTAGTGACCAGACCACTCACTGACGGATATATACTAATATAGCAGTAAAGTATGTTTGAAAGTTTTTTTACCAATTAATTAAGCTCTTGCATAATTTATATAATGCATTTCATCTTTGTGATTCCTAAAGGGCTGCACACGTCTTATTTTGAGGAACCATTTCATGTTCATCTTGCTTAATGGACATTGTCAAAGTCAGAAATAAAGAACTGTTATTGTCAAATATAACTTTTAACTTGGGTCCTGATGAAGCATCAAAACTCGGAGGTGAAACTAGTCAGCCATGAGAGAGGTAACAACTTGGTTGTGATGTTTGAGCATGTTATGATTAACGTTAACATATATTATTATCAACTTTTTAATTCTGACAGAAAATTAAGATATACATTTTTATCAGGTATTTCTAAAAAATAAATAACAGGTAGTCTTGGTGTTAATAAAATCTGTCTATTAAATGAAAAAGTATCTGCAAAACATTTAAATTCCCGATCAACTCTCTATTATACTTAAATTTCCAAACTCGAAGCTAGCTACAGCAAGATTTTCACTTACTCCATCTGTTACATTTCCTATTCTATCGTATGTTGCTTTACAAAGATTTCTTTCCGAGTTTCGGCTGATGTCATACTCCTTGGGTTCTGCTTCTCTTGCTTGATGCCTGCAAATTATATATAAATATTTACATGACTATTCAAATACTTTAAAAAAAAAAGTAATCATCTATATTTTAATGCGATATAGAAAATTCAACTAGCACAACGGACCATCTTATCATTAACCCTTAAGTGCATCTCAGTTGGTTTAAACGTTATCTAGCGGTACCGATAAAGGAAACACATGAAAACAAACTTATAGCAGATTAAATTTCTGAGCGGTACAACAGTAACCTATGGGCTCACTGAACATCTCAAGTGTGTCTTGGTTTTGAAAGTAAACAATCGCATTACAATAAATAGCATTCTACCAACGGCACCTACCAGTTAGAATTTAAGGTAGCTCTTCCATAGTTCATATGATCAGAACGTAGGAAAAGCGATCCCTTCCGCTCGTAATAATCTGGTACACCCGCCATGATTATTTACATTGACAGCGGAAGTAGCCAAAGCACACTCAAATAGTACGCCCTACGCGTAGAAAAATAATGCAAAGGTTTACAGGAAAGAAATAAAAGTGAATGGAGATTATGTGTTTGTATACACTTCCAATTAATATGTTTTGTTAAATGTGGGATTTGGATGAAAAATAATTAAAAACAGTCAATCGTGAGTGTCTTGAAACAACAGTCACTTTCGAGTATCAATCCGCCAACGTCTCGTAGCAACTGAAAAACTAATAGACTTGCACAAGTCAACCAATTAACTTAAATTTTGCATTTTGCATTGGTTGTAGTTCTTGTTGCATTTTCTATCACTTGAAAAACAACATTAAGTTGGGAAATACTCCATGATTTTTTGGAATTAGAAAAATTAGAAAAAAAACTAAAAAAAACACATTCAAATATCTGACCCTATAACGTATAAACCCTTCCTTCTGTACCGGTAGTGTGAGTTTAAACGTCAAAGTCCATATTTTACATATGTACATTTTAAAGCAATATGAGGCTCATTGTGGAAAAAATGCAAATGTTAAAGAAGGAAAAGAAAACAATTTAGGTAAACCTACCCCTGCCTCCTTTGATCATGTGACATGCACCTTTGACACCCCGAAACACTATACCACTCCCACCGTGGTCAGCCACCACCACCAATATATTTACTAAAATGGGTTCAGGATGATGAATATGTATGCGTGAAAACAAAATCCATTCGATCCAAAATACTGATTATTATGGACTTAATATACTAATTGGTATTTTCTAAATAATACATTCAACCACAGCTACGGGCAATATGCTAATTTATACTGGTTTGCACCCAATAACACGCACGGTTCCAGTCCATTGGAGAAGTCCTCGATATCGATACATATATTGGATGAGTTTGCGCTATTTGGCGCAGGTGAACTCTACAAAAGCAACCATTAAACAGCCTTCCAGAAATATGTGCACTGAAACGTTGATCAAACATAAATTGCCAATAATAACTGCACAAGTAACTGTTAAAGTCGCTAAGTACAATTGTACAAATTGCTAATTAGAACAACTCAAGTCACTGTTAAAGTTTTTAATTTTAAATATTCAATTCGCTAATTAGAACAGTACAAATCTTTAATTAGAAATTTACAAGTCTATAATAAAGAAAAAAATAAAGCATGTGAGATTTTAGCTTGAACTATTGAGGTCGTTGGTAAGAACAGTAAAACTCGCTTATTAGAACGGTTCAAAGAGTTCAAAGCTATAAATCAACAAGTAGCTTGTTAGAAGTGTACAAGTCGTTAATTAGAACTGTTCATTAACGGAGGAATAGTATACTCAATAGGCCTACTGACTGGCTAAATAGTGGAGTCGGGGTAATGGGTCCATCAGTCGAGGGACTTTCCGAATGTGCAAATAACTGATCTGTGGAATATATGTGATTTATGTATGACCATTAGTGAAAGCAATGTATATAGTAAAACCAGACAAGATGTTAATATAAGACGGTTTGAGATACATATCAGAATATCTTATAAAAAGTTGTAAGAGGGTATGACATACATATGAGAGTGTATTAGATACATATTAGAGTGTATAAGATACATATGAGTGTGTATAAGATACATATGAGAGTGTATAAGATACATATTAGAGTGTATAAGATATATATAAGAGGGTATGAGATACATGTGAGAGTGTATAAGATACATATAAGAGTGTATAAGAGCTATATAAGAGGGTATGAGATACATGTGAGAGTGTATACGATACATGTGAGAGTGTATAAGATACATATAAGAGTGTATAAGAGATATATAAGAGGGTATGAGATACATGTGAGAGTGTATACGATACATATAAGAGGGTATGACATACATATGAGAGTGTATAAGATACATATGGGAGTGTATAAGATACATATGGGAGAGTATAAGATAATATGAAAGTGTTTCAGATATATATAAGAGGGTATGAGATACATGTGAGAGTGTATAAGATACATGTGAGAGTGTATACGATACATATAAGAGGGTATGAGATACATGTGAGAGTGTATACGATACATATGGGAGTGTATAAGATACATATAAGAGGGTATGAGATACATACATGTGAGAGTGTATAAGATACATGTGAGAGTGAATAAGATACATATGGGAGTGTATAAGATACATATGATAGTGTTTTAGATATATATCAGAGGGTATGAGATACATGTGAGAGTGTATAAGATACATTACATGTGAGAGTGTATAAGATACATGTGAGAGTGTATAAGATACATAAGGGAGTGTATAAGATACATATGAAAGTGTTTTAGATATATATCAGAGGGTATGAGATACATGTGAGAGCGTATAAGATACATGTGAGAGTGTATAAGATACATAAGGGAGTGTATAAGATACATATGAAAGTGTTTTAGATATATATCAGAGGGGATGAGATACATGTGAGAGTGTATAAGATACATATGAAAGTGTATAAGTATAAGATAATATGAAAGTGTTTCAGATATATATAAGAGGGTATGAGATACATGTGAGAGTGTATACGATACATATGGGAGTGTATAAGATTCATATGAGTATAAGATACATATGAGAGTGTATAAGATACAATATGGGAGTGTATAAGATACATATGAAAGTGTTTTAGATATATATCAGAGGGGATGAGATACATGTGAGAGTGTATAAGATACATATTAGAGTGTATAAGATACATATGAGAGTGTAATAAGAGATATATAAGAGGGTATGAGATACATGTGAGAGTGTATAACATACATGTGAGAGTGTATAAGATACATATGGGAGTGTATAAGATACTTATGAAAGTGTTTTAGATATATATAAGAGGGTATGAGATACATGTGAGAGTGTATAAGATACATGTGAGAGTGTATAAGATACATATGGGAGTGTATAAGATACATATGAAAGTGTTTTAAATATATATAGGAGGGTATGAGATACATGTGAGAGTGTATACGATACATATAAGAGGGTATGAGATACATATGAGAGTGTATGAGATACATGTGAGAGTGTATACGATACATATAAGAGGGTATGAGATACATGTGAGAGTGTATAAGATACATATGAGAGTGTATTAGATACATATAAGAGTGTATAAGATACATATAAGAGTGTATACGATACATATGAGAGTGCATAAGATACATGTGAGAGTGTATACGATGCATATGGGAGTGCATAAGATACATATGAGAGTGTATAAGATACATATGAGAGTGTATTAGATACATATGAGAGTGTATAAGATACATATAAGAGTGTATACGATACATATGAGAGTGTATAAGATACATGTGAGAGTGTATACGATACATATTAGGGTGTATAAGATACATATGAGAGTGTAAAAGATACATATGAGAATGTATAAGATACATATGAGAGTGTATTAAATACATATGAAAGTGTTTTATATATATATAAGAGGGTATGAGATACATGTGAGAGTGTATACGATACATATAAGAGGGTATGAGATACATGTGAGAGTGTATACGATACATATGAGAGTGTATAAGATACATATGAGAGGGTATGAGATACATATGAGAGTGTAAAAGATACATATGAGAGTGTAGTAGATACATATTAGAGTGTATGAGATACATATAAGAGTGTATAAGATACATATTAGAGTGTATAAGATACATATGAGAGTGTATAAGATACATGTGAGAGTGTATACGATACATATTAGGGTGTATAAGATACATATGAAAGTGTATAAGATACATATGAGAGTGTATAAGATACATATAAGAGTGTATAAGATACATATAAGAGGGTATGAGATACATGTGCGAGTGTATACGATACATATAAGAGGGTATGAGATACATGTGAGAGTGTATAAGATACATATGAAAGTGTATAAGATACATATAAGAGGGTATGATATACATGTGAGAGTGTATAAGATACATATGAGAGTGTATTAGATACATATGAGAGTGTATTAAATACATATGAGAGTGTTTTAGATATATATAAGAGGGTATGAGATACATGTGAGAGTGTATACGATACATATGGGAGTGTATAAGATTCATATGAGAGTGTATTAGATACAAATGAGAGTGTATTAGATATATATAAGAGGGTATGAGATACATGTGAGAGTGTATAAGATACATATGAGAGTATATAAGATACATATAAGAGTGTTTAAGATACATATAAGAGGGTATGAGATACAAGTGATAGTGTATAAGATACATATTAGAGTGTATAATATACATATTAGAGTGTATAAGATACATATGAGAGTGTATAAAATACATATAAGAGGGTATAAGATACATATTAGAGTGTAAAAGATACATATGAGTGGATATAATATACATATTAGAGTGTATAAGGTACATATAAGAGGGTATGAGATACATGTGAGAGTGTATAAGATACATATTAGAGTGTATAATATTCAAATTATAGGGTATAAGATACGTGTAAGATATACATGTAAGAGGATATAAGATACATGTAAGAGGATATAAGATACATGTAAGAGGATATAAGAAACATGTAAGATACATATCACTTTACATATAGGTCTCTGGTATTAGGTATGAGAGTACAGGATGAATATACGTAAGCAGGCATTATACGATGCATACGTAATGGTTAAGATACATGCTATTTTCTATATCGACCCAAAAACGTATTTATGTCGACTACAGGTAACAAAATCCTTGAAACAGTGACAATTGAAACCCGATATTTCACACAGTAAAACAATATACGATATTCATTTCAAACACGTGTGTCAGATTACATTAGCAGTGTAAGGAACTACCATTCCATAGGTACATCACCATGACAAACCGTGTAAATTAATCAGAAGCTACGTGGTACATAGTCCAATAAACACTGGAAATTACCGGACGGCAGGTGCGACCACGTGCACCGTTCGCTTTATGATTATCGATGGATCTTTCATTAGGCGGCGAGTTCCGTGTGTGGTGCCGAGTCTATAAGCGTGATTGTTACGCGCCGTTAACCTGTGTTTTGGGAGTATTATAAATACCAGTCAACAGAAAGGACGGACATATCACGCAGAGAAATTACATGATAATCATTTCCGGTGCGACATAATGACGATGACCGCCTTTAAGGTATGTATGTATACGGTGTAGGTGTGTGTGTTTGTGCTACTCGAAGTGTTAAACATCGATGGTTTGTGTGTCGGTGTTATGGTGGCTGAAGAGGCAACAGATGTACGACTAGCGCCATGTTCACCAATGTCTCTTCTCAACCATAGTAAAAATCGATCGTTGTATAAGGGCTAGTGCTGTGCGGAGTACAGACTGTCCTGATTCATTGTGTTCGTAACACCCGGTCTACGTTCTTTGTCGGGTGGGGCCGGGGAGGATTACTATGACTAATATTGACCACCAGGTTTTAACCACCCTACGACTGGACAACTTCCTTTGGTGACGGTAGCTTCTGCAGTTTCATCAAGATTAAGGTGAGAATTTTCGCAAGTATTGGGTCGGTATCCTCGTATATACCATGTATAGCTCGCGTCCGTCTCATCATCACCCAAATCACGCTTGTTTCTATGGCAAACGGCGTAGCTCTTTCTATTACTATCGATACTATGACGTGACGACATATTGGCACCTGAAGTCACGATCATTGTTAGTGATGGCAGTATTAATCCACGTCCTGTTTGATGAAGTGGTTCAAACATAGTACTGACATTTCTAGATTTACATTAACCGACTGTCGTGTCTGATAGTAATCATTGTCATCTCTGTGCACCGGTCTCGGTAATGTAGCTGGTTTTATTGGCGGAACACGTGCGTCCATAGTCTTTTTAGCATCTTAAGGATATAATGCATTTTGCAGCGGGGGCCCATAGTCATAATGTTTGAGGTTTGAGGTCGTTCTGTCATGATTAAAAAGTATTATGCAATTGTATTGTGGAAATATACCAATTTATATTAAACATATATAGCTTTTGGACTGACTTGATATCAAATGTAATCTAAACAGAGCGTACTTTGTATCAATTATATATTATGATGAAATTGTATCAGTGTGTATTTAACAAAGCCAATAATAATCAGATAACGACTAGGATAGCATCGTTCAATGAAAATCTGGTAACGACTAGGATAGCATCGTACAATGATAATCTGCTAACGACTAGGATATCATCGTACAACAACAATCCGGTAACGACTAGGATAGCATCGTACAATGATAATCTGGTAACGACTAGGATAGCACATGCATCGTACAATGATAATCTGCTAACGACTAGGATATCATCGTATAATGATAATCTGCTAACGACTAGGATAGCATCGTACAGTGATAATCTGGTAACGACTAGGATAGCATCGTACAATGATAATCTGGTAACGACTAGGATAGCACATGCATCGGACAATGATAATCTGCTAACGACTAGGATATCATCGTATAATGATAATCTGCTAACGACTAGGATAGCATCGGACAATGATAATCTGGTAACGACTAGGATAGCATCCTACAATGATAATCTGGTAACGACTAGGATAGCAACGTACAATGATAATCTGGTAACGACTAGGATAGTATCGTACAATGATAATCTGGTAACGACTAGGATATCATCGTACAATGATAATCTGCTAACGACTAGGATATCATCGTACAATGATAATCTGGTAACGACTTGGATAGCATCGTACAACGATAATCTGGTAACGACTAGGATAGCATCGTACAATGATAATCTGGTAACGACTAGGATAGCATCGTACAATGATAATCTGGTAACGACTAGGATAGCATCGTACAATGATAATCTGGTAACGACTAGGATAGCATCGTACAATGATAATCTGGTAACGACTAGGATAGCATCGTACAATGATAATCTGGTAACGACTAGGATAGCATCGTACAATGATAATCTGGTAACGACTAGGATAGCATCGTACAATGATAATCTGGTAACGACTAGGATAGCATCGTACAATGATAATCTGGTAACGACTAGGATAGCATCGTACAATGATAATCTGGTAACGACTAGGATAGCATCGTACAATGATAATCTGGTAACGACTAGGATAGCATCGTACAATGATAATCTGGTAACGACTAGGATAGCATCGTACAATGATAATCTGGTAACGACTAGGATAGCATCGTACAATGATAATCTGGTAACGACTAGGATAGCATCGTACAATGATAATCTGGTAACGACTAGGATAGCATCGTACAATGATAATCTGGTAACGACTAGGATAGCATCGTACAATGATAATCTGGTAACGACTAGGATAGCATCGTACAATGATAATCTGCTAACGACTAGGATATCATCGTACAATGATAATCTGCTAACGACTAGGATAGCATCGATCGTACCAGATGTTTTAATTGTTACTGACAACAGCTACATCAACTGGACTGATGACGTCATAGTTATTGTAGGACATTTTTGTTGACATAATTTTCCTTGACATCACTACCATTGTGGTACAATACTAGCAAATATTTCAATTTATGTTCTTGGTGGCACTGCAGTACAAATTCTTAAAATGTTTAGAAAGAATTTATTTGAAAGAAAATTTATGAAAAATGCCAAAGATTTAGCTGTTTCATACCATGAATAAGTCGAACCCCATAAAAGTAGAGAGAATGACCCTATTAGAAGTACCAAGTTGTTGACATTATATAACCAGTTTCCTTACATCATTGCTATTGTAATAATATATTGTTCATATCATTTTCTGTTCCTAAATACACAGATCATACTTATATACATCAAACACCATACTGTTATCCACACTATACATCATACATACACACATACACACCATACTCCTACACATACACACACACCATACTCCTACACATACACACACACCATACACATAAACACCATACTCTACACATACACCATACACATACACACCCTACTCTACACATACACCATACACATACACACTATATATCATACATACACCATACTGTTATCCACACTATACATCATACATACACCATACACATACACACCCTACTCTACACATACACCATACACATACACACCATACTCTACACATACACCATACTCCTACACATACACACACCATACTCCTACACATAAACACACACTATACTCCTACACATACACACACACCATACTCATACACATACACACACACACCATACATATAAACACCATACTCTACACATACACCATACACATACACACTATACATCATACATACACACATACACCATACACATACACACCCTACTCTACACATACACCATACTCTACACATACACCATACTCCTACACATACACCATACTCCTACATATACACCATACTCTACACATACACCATACTCTACACATTCACCATACTCCTACACATACACCATACTCTACACATACACCATACTCCTACACATACACCATACTCCTACACATACACCATACTCTACACATTCACAATACTCCACACATTCACCATACTCCTACACATACACACACACCATACTCTACACATTCACCATACTCCTACACATACACCATACACATACACACCCTACTCTACACATACACCATATACATACACACCCTACTCTACACATACACCATACTCTACACATACCCCATACTCTACACATACACCATACTCTACACATTCACAATACTCCACACATACACCATACTCCTACACATACACCATACTCTACACATTCACCATACTCTACACATACACCAATACACACCCTACTCTACACATACACCATACTCTACACGTTCACAATACTCCACACATTCACCATTCTCCTACACATACACACACACCATACTCTACACATTCCCCATACTCCTACAAATACCATACTCATATGCATGCATCATATTCCTACACACACCATACTCTTACACATACACCATACTCCTACACATTCACAATACTCCACACATACACCATACTCCTACACATTCACAATATTCCACACATACACCATACTCCTACACATACATACACACCATACTCTACACATTCACCATGCTCCTACAAATGCCATACTCCTATGCATGCATCATATTCCTACACACACCATACTCTTACACATACACCATACTCCTACACATTCACAATACTCCACACATTCACCATGCTCCTACACATACACACACACCATACTCTACACATTCGCCATACTCCTACAAATACCATACTCATATGCATGCATCATATTCCTACACACACCATCCTCTTACACATACCCCATACTCCTACACATACACCATACTCTACACATACCCCATACTCCTACACATACACCATACTCTACACATTCACAATACTCCACACATTCACCATACTCCTACAAATACCATACTCATATGCATGCATCATATTCCTACACACACCATCCTCTTACACATACCCCATACTCCTACACATACACCATACTCCTACACATACATAATACTCTACACATACACCATACTCCTAAACATACATCATACTCTACACATACACCATACTCTACACATACCCCATACTCCTACACATACACCATACTCTACACATACCCCATACTCTACTCATTCACCATACTCCTACACATACAACATACTCTACACATACACCATACTCTACACATTCACCAAACTCCTACACATACACCAAGCTCTACACATACACCATACACATACACACTATACATCATACATACACCATACTGTTATCCACACTATACATCATACATACACCATACACATACACACCCTACTCTACACATACACCATACTCTACACATACCCCATACTCTACACATACACCATACTCTACACATACACCATACTCCTACACATTCACAATACTCCTACACATACACCATACTCTACACATTCACAATACTCCACACATTCACCATACTCCTACACATACACACACACCATACTCTACACATTCACCATACTCCTACAAATACCATACTCCTATGCATGCATCATATTCCTACACACACCATACTCTTACACATACACCATACTCCTACACATACACCATACTCTACACATACACCATACTCTACACATTCACAATACTCTACACATACACCATACTCCTACACATAC